AGTGTCTAGAGATTCCAGTTGTGGATCTCAGTGGGCATTGGGTCAAGGCCTAAGTGTCTTTCCATTGACTTCAAAGGGCTTTGGATCAGACCACAAGTCACCTAATGGCACTGCAAACCAGCCTGGCCACTTTCCATCGAAGTAATATGAAAATGTAAACAGGAGTACATTTATTTTGGTTGCTTTTCTGCTGTTTAAATTAGCCCTGACCCACAAAGAGCTTATTGGTCACTTTATAAGAACCACAGAGTTCTGTTCTGAAGGACCAGCCTATCTTTAGTCTCTGAAGCCAGTTAAGCAGAAAACACATGGTGTGACAGCAGGTTACACTCTGCTTGAACTGTATAATTTCAATCTTAGCATGAATGTTCAGGGAACTTTACAGAATAAGAGTCCCTGCCCCAATGGTTTTATAGTCTAAGGTGGGTTACTAGAGCAATGAGGATAAATGGAGTCAGGTTCTTCAGAACCCAAGGGGAAAGCATGTGATTGCAGATGCTACTTGAAAGAAGTGGAAGCATAGCTTATACAATGATGCTATGCAGACAAGAAAACGAATGGAGCTACAATATAGAAAACACATCATGGATTGGATTAGCTCCGATCACAAGGAAACAAAGAAGGTATAAGAAAAAGTGAGGTTACTCCTAAATTAATTCGACAAAAACATCAGTGTAGAGTTGGCCCTTTTTCAGAACTAGGACAAAATTGACTGCAAATATACAATTGCAGATCCATCCTATCTCAGTAGAGGGCATCAGATATAACAGCTAGTGTACATCACTCTATTTATAGAGGAGCGGGATAGTATCACACTGAAGTAGGAAGCGATATTCCATTACTTCACATCTGGGAAACTCAGCGAGAGCAGGATCTTGGGAAGTGCTTAATTTCTTAAGAAGGGTTCTGAGTGCTGTACTGGCAACAGCACCCCTCAGGGCAGCACCTCCCATGTTCAACAGGTAAAGAAAATAACCCTTCACTGTGTCATCAACATGGCTCTGCCTTTCCCTTGATCTTTGTATTAGTTACAGTCATAACTAGGAACCCCAATCACAGATCTGGTCCACACTGCACAGGGCACTGTACAAACGAACAAGCAAAGTTTGCATCCCTGCCCACAAACATCTTGGTGCTTTCTTCCACCACTTGTGTGTGGAATCCCCGCCTGCCCCCCCCCCCACACACAAATCCCTAAACCACTAGCCTCTTCTCCTTCAAATCCCTCTCAAGACCCACTCCTCCTGCAACTCCTACAAGAAATCTGTTGGCAAAGGATGACTCTGGTTGGGAGGGGCAGGGGATATGGTATATTTAAAAACATTAAGTACCAAAAATTATCTGCTGGTGTAAATACCCTTGTAGACTGAAGATCTTTGGGACAGTCACTCCATATATTGCTATGTATAGTACCTCACACAATGGGGACACCATCCGGACAGAGGCCTCTGGGAATCACTGTAATAGAAATAATTATAAGACCAATCCTTCATTACCCAGACTTCCATGATGCACTCTACACTAGTCTAAAGATAGTGGAAGAGTTTGCTTCATGCCAGATAATGCTCTTTGATAAAAGTAACTTCAGATGAATTTCAGCCCTAACTCTACTTATCTTAAACTAGCATATGCAGCCAGCAAAACTTCATCCCGTGTTAACTAAATGAGTCACTTCCTGTCCCCAAATGTACCTCTCTGTCCACCCCAACACAACAGTCACATTTCTTATAGATGCAGGACCAAGCAAAACCTGTAAAATGTTACTACTTCAGGTTGTTATTCTGGCTTTGGTTTTGTCTTGTAAGTTTCTTTTTTTACCCTTTTTCTACACAGTTGTGCATTACTGAGTCACAACTCACCATGCTCCAGATTCATGTTAATTTCTGGTTTTCTTTTCTTGCTCTCTTTCTAGATGGATGTGCACAAATACACCTGAGACAAGCTCAGTTGTCCGTTACCAGGGCAAAAGATAAAACTGCACGTATAGACTGTGAAGCTTCGGGCATTCAGAACTTCGGGAGTGCTGTTATACACTGGTATCGACACAGACCTGGAGAAGCCCCGGAGTGGATACTCTACTTTAAGACACAAGCTGATAAATCAAATTTTGACAAGAAGTTTAGTGTTGACAAGACAACTGAAAAGTCCACCTGTACCCTAAGAGTAATCAAACTAAGCTACAATGACATGGCTACCTATTACTGTGCCTACTGGGATCACACAGCATTAGAACGCCATAGACAGGCTGTACAAAAACCTCACTCTGTATTCTGAGCCACAGACTTTCAAAAGTGTACCAAAAAAACCCACACACCTAGTTGCCTTCTTAATCAACAGAAAGCATGAGTAGATACTCATTTTCTCTGAGTAAGATATAAGACCATCACATAGAACTGATGTTTTCAAGTATGGCAGGTATAGATTTAAAAAGGTGTAATAAAAGCTAACTTTTATAGGTACAGCATAGCACGTCATTGACCACATCCTGCAGATACTTATATTAGAAGGCAGATATCCAGTTCCTCCTTCATTTCTGGTTAATCTTTAAAAAGCCATTCCTATCAAGTCACTCTTTGAATGTTCTATATGATTTTTACTATTTTTGGGCTTGATACAGGGGTTGGGACACTCAGACCAGGGGGCTGTTAGCAATATTGGTTTTAACACTATTACAGGCAGGGACAACCTTTGGAGGATATTAGTCTGCTGAAGATCCCTGATTGGAAGAAAAAGCAAGTTTTCCAGGCCTGTGATAGAAGGCCATTTATCAAGACAACAACATTTTGCCCCCTGCTGACTGAACAGCAAATCAATGAATGGAGAGGGCTAGTAAGCTACCAGAGTGGTAATAGGTGCTGGAACTAGAGATGCTGCTGCACCCCCTGGATTGAAGTGGTGGCACATGATGGCATATATCACATTAGTAGGGGTATTCTACTATCATTAGTAGATGTGCAGGTGAATGAGCCTCTGATGGTGTGGCTGGTTTAGTTGGGTCCTATGAGGGTGTTGCTTGAGTAGATACAAGGACAGAGAAAGCAACAGGGTTAGTTACAGGGATTGGTTCCTGGGTTAGTGTTTCTGTGGTGTGGTGTAGTTGCTGGGGAGTATTTGCTTCAGGTTGGGGGGGGGGGGCTGTCTGTAAGCGATGATTGGCCTGCCTCCCAAGGTCTGAGAGAGAGTGACTGATCGTTTTCCAGGATAGGTTGTAGATCGTTGAGGATGCACTGGAGAGGTTTTAGCTGGGGGCTGTACGTGATGGCCAGTGGTGTTCTGTTATTTTCCTTGTTGGGCCTGTTTTGAAGTAGGGGGACTTCTGGGTACCCGTATCGCTCTGTCAATCTGTTTCCTCACTTCTCCGGGGGGGTATTGTAGTTTTAAGAATGCTTGATAGAGATCTTGTAGGTGTTTGTTTCTGTATGAGGGATTGGAGCAAATGCAGTTGTATCTTAGGGCTTGGCTGTAGACAAAGGATCGTGTGATGTGTCCTGGATGGAAGCTGGAGGCATGTAGGTAAGTATAGCAGTCAGTAGGTTTCTGGTACAGGGTGGTGTTTATGTGACCATCACTTATTTGCACTGTAGTATTCAGGAAGAGGATTTCTTGTGTGGACTGGTCCAGGCTGAAGTTGATGGTGGGGGTGGAAATTGTTGAAATCCAGGTGGAATTCTTCAAGGGCCTCCTTCCCATGGGTCCATATGATGAAGATGTCATCAATGTAGCATAAATAG